GTGTGTGTGTGTGTGTGTGTGTGTGTGTGTGTGTGTGTGTGTGTGGTGTGGTGTGGTGTGGTGTGGTGTGGTGTGGTGTGGTGTGGTGTGAGTGTGTGTGTGTGTGTGGGTGGGTGTGGGTGTGGGTGGGTATGGGTGGGTATGGTGTGAGAGAGAGCATGGGATCATGCCTCACGTGTCATGAAGGCCTGGAGGGTGTCTCCCGTCTTGTTTCTCAACTCCTTTCTCCACCGTTTGCTCTTTTTGCTTGTTCTGCGCCATGAACTGACTGACTGTTGCCCATAGGAGCTGGCCAAGTCCATTCGCATGAAGCGACAAGTCTCCATCGAACGAGGTGTGTGTGTGTGTGTGTTGCGGTGTGTGTTGTGTGTGTTTGTGTGATGTGCGTGTGCAGGTTACTGCACGTCTTTTTGACTGGCTCTCCCACTCTGCTGTCGACTCCGCACTCCTTTGTGTGGCTTTGGCTCTGTGACCGTTTACATCCCCTATGCTACCGCTGCGGTCTCTGGCCTTTGTCTCCCTCCTTGCCATATCCGATCTGCCGCCACTGCATCACTCACCATGTTGATGGCCGTGACACAGGACTCACGTGTTTGCAAGATCCGCATGACGGTGACAACGACCTTGTGAGGTCAGGCGACAAACTCGCAACCAGCCCACCGTTTTGCTGGCCTTGAAACTGTTCTCTTGTGCGCCTTCACAAATGAGTCGGACTGCACAATCTCATGACTTGTGTTGCTCTTTCCATTTGCCACAGGTCGGTTGTGGATCCAACAGAGGAACGCGGCATGGTGCTCTCCTCCACTGAAGGCACGAGTGTGAATGCCCAGCATTGGACTGACTCTGTCAACGAGGCCCTCTCATCAAACGGTGCGTTGTGTCTGTCTGTCTGTCTGTCTGTCTGTCTGTCTCTGTCTGTCTGTCTGTCTGTCTCTGTCTGTCTCTGTCTGTCTCTGTGTTTGTGTGTGTCTGCCTGCCTGCCTGCCTGCCTGCCTATCTGCTTGTGCATCAGGCGACCTTTGCTGGTGCAAGCTGGGGATGGCACCTACAATTCTTGTACCTCGCTTGTTTTTGAGTCACCAGGCACTCACGTCACCAACACGCCTCCACTGCGCATCGATCGCTGTCACCACAGAGTCAAGCAGATCAAGCACGTCGCTGGCTCCGTCGGAGCTGCAGCTGCACTGCCCTTCGTGCAGTGTGACGATGGTGCGCATCCATGCTATTGGCCCAACGCGCTGACATGTTTGGACCATGTTTATCCCATAATTGTGCAAGTGTGCCAACTGGTCGTGCATTCACATGTGTTCATGTGCAGTAAGCACTGGACGTTTGGTTTTGAAGGTGAGCGTGCACGCTGCACCACTCACACAATATGACACCATGAACCCTCCCCCTTCACCTGCCCCTGCGTCATATCTTCAATAGAGTGACGCCAAGCACGTTCCCATGAGCCTGATCCCATGCGGACACGTGGTGTGTCGATCCTGCCTCACCGCTGGCCGGTCTGATCTCGGATTTCTTCTCTGCGCCACCTGCAACGAACTCAGTACGTACTCGGGCTCCCAAACACTTGGTTGTTTATTTGCACATGTGTGTGTATGCTGCACGTGCACTGCAGGTGTGCACTGCATGTGTGTGTACTGCATGTGTGCTGCATGTGTGTGTGTCTGCCGCACGCACGCACGCACGCACGCACATACACATACGCTTACGCACACACATACGCCTACGCACACACGCTACACACACGTACGCACATAACACACACGCACACGCGTGCGCACACTCACGCACAAACCATACACACATTCTCCCCACCGCAGCGTCCTCGTCGATTATGAACGCGACGTTGAAGCAGGCAATTGCTGCGGAAATTGCTGCGCAAGAGAAAGCACAAGAAAAACGCAAAGCGCGCACAGACCAGCGGGGTATTCGCCAGCAGTGGAAGTCGAACCTCAACCGCAAGAGCATCTTCTTCGACTCTGCTGCTCCCTCCAACAACAGCCCCACAACCTTGACAACAACCGCTACAGCCAACATGGCCATAAACGGTCGCAGTGAGGCAGGTACCGCCGTGGGTGAGACGAGGGCTGTGCCGGCACGCAAACGAAGCAGCCAAGCAAACGCAACCAGCGGCCCATCCTCTGCCCTGGGGAACACGGCCACATCTGTTGGCGGTGGTGTGGGCACACCCTCCAAAGGCAGCAAGACAGGCTTACTCAGCACAAGCGCTGGCAATAGCAACAACAACAGCAGCAGCAACCAACGTCATGACCTCACCGACACCGGTGCAAACATGGCGGCATGCAAGCAGGGTCAAGGCACGAAGCCCGCAATGCGTCGCGATGCAAGTCGTTCGTTCTACTTCCCGCGCCAGCCGCTGCAGACCGGCATCACTAAGACGCGTTCGGAGAAGCGCATTTCAGGGGTATGCCGCCCCATGCAACAAGTGTTCGTGTGGCTGGCCTGATTGCCTTTTGTGTGTGTGTGTGTGTGTGTGTGTGTGCATGAATGTTTGTGTCAACGTGTATGTGCGTGTGTGTTGGTGCATGAATGTTTGTATCAATTTGCGTAAGTATGTGCGCTCGCTTGTTCAGTGTGTTACGCCCACAGCTTCCACGTGAGTGTGGCGATGCGTTGCGTGCAATAGAGCTCCTCACCGCAGCTCACCCCAGTCTTGCTCTGTATGCTGCATGTTATGACGTGTGGTTGATGATGGATGATTTGCACAGACCGCGCGACCCCCGCATCACACGGCCCATCGCCGCATCTCCCACCAGGCGGTGAGTTGCACTGTTGCGGCTGTTCGCAGCACGGGGTGCTCGACACGACATGGTCGTATTGGGGTGATCATTGATTGTTGTTCCTGATTGCTGGGTATGCCAGCTTTGCTTGCCTTGTCCTTGTAGCTGTGTACCCTTCATTGCCCTCTCTGCCAGTTCGTTCGATTGCCATGAGTCACTCCTCTTCGGTCTTTGCTTCCTTGCGGGTTCACAGCAAGTGGCAACAGAGCAATACGTGGCCCGCGTGCACATGTGCATGCAGCTGGAGACACAAGTGTCGAGCCTCATTCAGGTCGGGCTAAAACGCCGCGATGTCGCGCGTGCAGGTTTTGTGTCTCATTTGTGCAGTTGGCGTGGTCTGATGTGTACACGCACAGCCTTGATGCATGTACTCGCTGATCCACGCACATCTGCACACACACACACACACACACACAATCCATACTCACACATGCACAATATCGCCCGCACACGCGGTCGTTGTGCCTTTGCTCAAATCGCCACCGGTGCTGTCATGTGTGTGTGTGTGTGTGTGCTGGTATGCAGTCGCTTGCTGAGGTGGACATGGCCATCAAGAAGGAGGAGGCAGAATCACGTGATACCGCGTCAGAAATTGAGCGCATCGACGAGCAGGTTGCGTTTCTTCAGCAGCAGCGCAAAGGTACGTGACACACCATGCGAAGCTGCGTCCTTGAATGCGTGACCTGCTGCTCTGCGTGTGTGTGTGTGTGTGTGTGTGTGTGTGTGTGTGTGTGTGTGTGTGTGTGTGTGCGTGCGTGTGTGCGTGTGTGTGCGATGTGTGTGTGTGTGTGCGCGATGTGTGTGTGTGCGTGTGCGCGATGAGATGCTGCTGCATGTGGGATGAAGCAAGCCAAGTCACCTAAGCCCCCAAGCAAACTTCGGCTCACTTGCTCATCACGTGGCTTCTTCTTGAACAGATCTCGTGCAACAGCAAGCAGAGCAACAGGCAACTACAAAGCGCCTGCAAGACAACCGCAAAGGTAGTAAAACATCTTTCACACATACAAGCACACACACGCACACACAAGCACACGCACACAAGCACGCGAGCCTATTCATGTTGGTGGTGGCAAACGCCGCACTCGCTGTTGCACATCACGTATATCACACGTATGCGTTGTTATGCCCTCTTGCAGGTGTGGTGGCCGACTTGGAAACAGCAAAGACAAACTTTGGCCAGGTTACAGAAGAGGTGAGATGCCAATCCACACGCACACGTACACAACCATTTGCACACACGCACACGCACGCATGATTGTGCTGGTGGACCACCAGGTCATCAGTCAACTTGATGTTCACCGGTTGCCTTTTCGCTCACACCGCAATACCTTTGCAACTGCAGCTGCGGGCACACCGCAACACGCTTGAACAAGAAGGCGCCCTGCAAGAGGCAACGAAGAAAGCACGACAATCACGCATCTTCGACGTGGATCTCGGTGAGTACACATCAACGCACGCTAACTAGCACACACATGCACACACATGCACACACACACGCACACGTGCGGACACACACATTTACACACATACACATATGCACACACATGCACACATGCACACAACTGCGCATGCACATGCGATGGTTCAAGTGCAAACACACGGGCCTTGCTAAACTGTCATCACATGTACATGTGAAGCGCTCTTACTTGCCCGTAAAGTCCGCTGCCTGTACCTCGTACGCACTGCGTGCTCGCTCACTGACACCATTGTCACTCCCCGTTATACGCATGCTTGTTGTGCTTGTTGTGCAGCCACGACACCAACACCCCCACCACATGCGGGTGGCGAAACAAGAAGCTGTGTCGTCACACCAACGCACCTGCCAGGCTCAAGCACACACAGTGACAGAAGCACGCCGTCCTACACGCTCGAGCATATGGCTGGATGCTCCGGCCCGCTCAAGTTCACGCACCTCGCACGGCACACCGCTGTCTCCGCGACAGCCAGTCAGAAGTCAGGCGCAACAGCAACAAACGCCAACAGCACGCAGACACGGGTCAGCAAGCAACAGACAGATGCAACTTGCAGCGAAAATGACAGCACGGATTCCACTCGTGCTACCAACAAGGACGCGTCGCCTGTGCCATTTCCTGCAAGCACCAACTCAGCAAAACAAACCAACCTTCCCGAAGGCGCATCAACCAACAGCATTGTCTTTACTGATGATGACACGCGCCAACATCCGACCGCGCCAGCTTGCAAACGAGCAACAACAGATGCTGTAACGGCCACCAGTGACAATGACGAGCACCTCTGGCGACCAACGGCGGAACCGCGACACTCCCTGCCAACCACGCCGCGGGTCATGTGCAACGCCCGCCTTGTCCTCGATGAGGATGACGATGAGGATGACGATGACGACGAAGACGACGAGGATCATGGTGAAGTGGCTGATAGTACAGGTGGCGGACGGGGGCAGAAGCCAAATCAAGTTGGCTGCGAGACACAACCCGACGTGCTTGCGCCAGGAGCGGTGACAACAAAGTTGAAGGTCAACTGTGATGGCGAAGCGGGTGTGGCAGGCAAGCGAGGGAGTGATCCTCGTCTCATTCGCGCAGCAACGCGCCGTGCGTCCGCGCCACTCCCTCCACATTTGCAGCCTTCCTCGCCACATGCGGCACACCCCACACCCTCGAACATGTCGGCTGTTGTGTGGGATGACGCACAACGCGAGGCAACGAATGACAACCACAAATCCAGCTCTGAGGATGGCTGCATCAAGTACCCATCAGCTGCTATGATGCCTCTCGCGCCTGGATCCTGCATCAAATCGGCGGCACAATCAAATAGCAGCGCCCACGGTGACCGCGGTGATGGCGCTGGTGATGATGGTGCTGCGAATCTCGATGACTATGATGATGATGACGACGACGACGACGACGACGACATCATGGCAAGCATTCGGCTGATGTTGATGGGAGACGCGGGTGAAATGGAGCAAGCAAAGTCGAGGGTGTTGGCAACGTCCCTGGCTGCTGTCATTGATAGTGGCGCCAACGCAAACTCATCGGGTCACGAGCTTGAGGGCAACAGTGCCGACGACACGGCAGCACACCTGGTCACCGACCAGCACCTGTCCAAAGATGCGGCCTTGCCTGTGGTCGACCCGTATGACTTCATCGACGACATTGGCAACGCCTCGGAGGATGACAGCACGGCTCCCGACGCGGAGAGTCACACCGCCAAACCTGTCAATGAACTTCAACATACGGTGGCAGGATGCAGTGACTTGCATGATGAAGATGAAAGCGAGGTGTAAGTGTTGTGTGTGTTTCTGTGTGTGTGTGTGTGTTTCTGTGTAAATGTCAGCCTACAATGCTTCTTTGTCTGGGCGAAGATGGCTGTTGTTTGCTCGTGAGCACCGGTGTCCATACAGAAACATGGTTTGCGCTTCATTTTCTTCATTTTCTTCACAACCATCTCCAGAGGTTGGCACGACAGTATGGAACAAAGCACACATGCAAGAATGAACCTGGACAAACAAACCACTGAAGTCCGCCACTCCGCACCGCACAATGTCATCTCGAACAACAACTCGACTAAGAAACATGGGCGTACACCGACACAAACACACATACACGCAGTACTCACACACAGAGATTCAACGTTAAGAACACTGGCATTGCAAAGAGAAGGCTGAGGTTGGAAAATGTTAAGCCGTAGGGGAAGGCGCATCACACATCACATCACACAGTGGCGAATGAGAACCCGAAGATAGTGCAACAAAGGCCATCAGCACAGGCTCACTTCAGACAGCTTGCCATGAGACAGCGTGGCGCGTTCCTCGTCACGGGGAATGTCCACAGGTGAAACGTTGGCGAGTGGGGAAAGACTTCCACCAAGACCATCGTCGGACTGACTGTCGCCGCGGTAAGCGTCAAGAAGAACGGCACGTTGAATGTTTGGGTTCATGAGCAAAGCTGCAACACCAGTGCGGGTGTTGGACGACAACGAGGAGTCTTCAGCATAGGCATCAGCAACGCTCCCCGCATCAAGTTGCGCCTTGCCTGTATCGGAGGCGGGGAGGGTCTCGGTATCATGATCAACAGCAGCAACATCCTGAATCACATTGGCACGTGTTGCGAACCGGGGTCCATGATGTTGCGAGGCTGTCGAAGTACGAGGACTACCAACGCTGTCACGCGACAGGGCCTCAAACGCCTCTGCATCGTTGAGCCACGACACGGAGCTCAATGACACCCGCGCCGATGCGCCGCCCTCATGTGCTCCTGTCGACCGCCGCCCAATCGACGACGCACGCTTCTTCTTGAACACAAACCCGCCCCCAACGCTGTCCTTCGGCTGGGCACTCTTCCTCCGGCTACCCGTGTCACCGTCAACATCATCATCACCGTCAACATTATCACCATCACCCTCGCCATCACCCTCGCCCATGTCAATGACGGTGGCCTCGTTCTCAGCAATGGCAACACGCCCCGTCTGCTCATGCTTCCTCGTGCTCACCAGCCAGTATGTCAGCATCTCGCCCTTGCCCTTGATGTTCTGCACCCCGCGCGACTCAAGCTTCACCCACGGCGCCTGGCTCCGCACGCGGTCTCCCGCAGACGTCGACACGTGGATCTTGTTGCGCTCGCTCGAGCTCTCCATGCGCGACGCCGTGTTCACCGTATCCCCAAACAGGCAGTACCGCGGGTTGCGCCGCCCAACAACGTTGGCCACGACAGGGCCGCAGTGGAACCCAACGCGGATGTTCACGCACCCCAGCTCCGGCCGCTCAGGGTCAATGAACGTCGACTGCGCCGCCTTGATGGCGTCCTCCGCAAACTGCGCAATGCGGAGCGCGTGGTCGTGCTGCGGCTTGACAAGGTTTGTTGCCGCCATGTACGCGTCGCCAATGGTCTCCACCTTGAACACGCCGTGCTTCTCCGTCAGCTCGTCAAAGGCAGAGTACAGCCGGTCCAGCATGTCCGACACCGCCGCCGGCGTCAGCTGCGCGCTGATGTTGGTGAAGCCCACAATGTCGGAGAAGAAGATGGTCACGTCGTCCTTGTGCTCCGGGTGCACCTTCTTGCCCTCCTCCAGCATCTTGGCAATGTGCGGCGGGAACACGTCGTGCAGCACCGTGGCCTTCTTCAGCGCGTCCTGCTTCTGCTGGATGAGGCTTGCGCCCACCTTGCTGATGTTGAGCTCGCCCAGCTGCGCATCCACCTGGTCAAACGTTGGCCGGAACTTGGGCTCCTCGGACCAGCACCGCCGCGCAAGCTCAGCCAGCATGACGGGGCACGAGGCTGGGATGTCGGGTCGCTTTGCCGGCACCTGGCGCGCGGCAATCTGACGCAGCACCTCCGACGCGTCCTCCTCTGGGAACGGGTCCTGCCGGCTGTAGATCTCGTACACCGTGATGGCGAAGCTGTACACGTCCGCCTCCCGCGTCACCTCTCCTCCGCGCAGCACCTCTGCATGGTTGTGATGATTGGTTGGTGAGCGGTGGTTGTGATGGTTGGTTGGTGAGCGGTGGTTGTGATGGTGGTGATTGTGATTGGTGATTGTGAATGGTAGTGGTTGGAAGGCATGTGTATGTGTTGAGGTAAGGGGGGGGAAGAACGCAGCTCTGCAATAAACACGCCCGAATACACATGCACGTGCTTGCATGCATGCACATTCACAGTAGCACATCAGCACACACACCACATCACACACACGCACACGCACACACACACACACACACACCACATCACACACACACACACACACACACCACATCACACACACGCACACACACACCACATCACACACACACCTGGCGCCATCCAGAAGGGGGTGCCACAGCCAAAACGCTGCTTTTGCGACAGCCCGAAATCAGCAACCTTGGCCTTGAAGTTGCCATCCACAAGCACATTCTTCGCCTTGAGATCGCCGTGCACAACCGGTGGCTTGAGGTTGTGGATGTAGCGCATGCCAGACACAATGTCCTTGACAATGGGCAGCAAGAACATGTCTGGTGTCGGCAGCTCATCATTGCGCAGGAAGTCATACAGCGACCTGTGCATGAGCAACGTGCGATTGTGTGTATACGTGTGTGGTGCGAATGAGTGAGTGTAGGCGAGTGAGTGAGTGTCGAGGGTGGGAAGAATGAGTGGAAGGCAGTGATGGCGAAAGTGTGGTGCGTGTGTATGCGGTGTGCTGTGCATGACGGCACGATGGCATAAATGCACGCATGCAAGAGCGTCAGCAAAGCCTGATGTCAATCCAATGCAAGTGCACATGAAGATAATCACACACACACATACATACAGATATGCACACACACACACACACACACACACACACACACACACACACACACACACACACACACACACACACACACACACACGAGAAGCATTGACGCACCCGTGCTCGAGGTGCTCCATGACAAGGAGAAACTCTCGCGACTTGGTCATGATGGCACCAAGCATGGTGGCGATGCACGGGTGGCGCAGCCGTGACAGCAGCCGCATCTCCTCCATGAACTCGGCTCTGTCGTGATGTGAAGGGCAGTGCAAGACCAATGTGAGTGAGCACAATGCAAGCGAGCAGTACTTTGACCAGCTTAGCCAGAATGGGCCTGTACCTCACGCCAAAGAGCCAAAGAGAGGCACGCACTTGGTACTCATGCACACACATATGCATGTACACACACTCACTCGCACACACTCACACACAACACACACACACACACACACAACGCACACACCACAGCACACCACAGCACCCAACTCCTGCAGACAAACGTACTTTGCGTTTGTGAGCCTCTTTGTCTTGCTCATCCTGTGTGTGGTGCCCTGGGTGGTTGCATTGCCCTGCTCCAGCGCCCGCTCAATCGCTGCCTCGTTGTCCATGTTGCCCAGCTGCAAGCCAAAGCCGTTGGCTGTCCTTGATGCCTGATACGTGCCTGTCACTGTGCCGTCAGGAGCTGCAAGTGCGTCATCGCATTCGCCGTTCTTGCTACTCCGTTTCATGCTGCTGAGAACCCTCGCTTGCTTCCCGTGCGCGTACCACGTGCACCTGCACGCGAGGCCCGCGGCATGACGCGCTTGATGGCGATGGCGGTGCCGTTCAGCTCCCCCTTGATCACAACACCAAACGCGCCCATCCCAAGCACCTCGGGCGGGTCGCTCACAACAACGTCTGCCGCGTCAATCTGCCACAGCTTGTCTGCGCCTCGCCGCACCATGGCAATGGCAATGTACACGCCGATGCCAATCACAGCCAGGGCGCTGCCGATGAAGATGGGCAGGTACTCCTTTGCCTGCATGCAACTGCCGCTGATGTGGAGCGTGCCGACGGGGCAAACGCACGTGTTGTCCTGTGTTGCCTCCATCCCAGGTGGGCAGTCGCGAGGGGTTACTCTGATCAAGAACGGGCTGGCGTCGACGTGCGTCCATGCCTCCTCTGACGTGCCTGGACTTGCAATGAGGACCTGCACGCAAGCGCACATACAACGACAAGCAAAGATGATACAGTCTTCCGTGAATCCCCGCCGCACGGCTATTGCCATCACCATCCTCAACAATGCGTGTTCAGGCTGACATTCATCAAGCATGCCTACACTCAGGCGAACATGCAAACGCACACAATGTACCTGCCAACATCCCTCCCCCTTCACTGATAACGCGCAATGTGCAAGCTCACGTTCACGGCGGCGAGGCCATAATGATAGGCGGTAAAGTTGATGGTCGACATGTGGTGGTAGCCTGGCACTTGCGCAGCAGCTGTCGTGTAAGTGCCCACGTCGTCCCATGTCACAGTCACGTGAAAATAAGCATCGGGGTCCGTGATTGCCCGTGAAGCAGACAGTCTGTCTTCAACCACGATGAACTGAGTACTGCCTTGCTGGATGGTTGCGCAGACCTTCATTCGCAGACAAGAGCTTGAAATAATGTCGCGTGCTGCTATTTCATCTTCAAGGGTAACCACTGCTCGAAACAAGCTGGGGCTTGAGTGGAGCTGCAATACACAGACAAGTGAGGTGTTGTAACAGTTGAGTTCGGAACGAAGTTGTTAAGGCGTAGGTTACAAGCTCACGTTCACTTGTGCGCAAGCTCAAGGTGCAAGGTCACATCCACGCATGTGTGTATGTGCGTTGTTGTTGTTTGCGTATGAGAGAGAGAGTGTGTGTGTGTGTGTGCGTCGGCGTGTGTGCATGTGTATGTTATGCAATGTCAAAAAGCAAAGCTTGTCTCACCACAACTGGAGGCGTGTGTCGGCACGGACGGCAGATTACGCAACCGTGTTCCGGAATCGCCGCGCCAGGACACAAGTTGTGCAAGGCCGTGTGTTCAATGGTAAACGTGTCCTGTGCACAAATTGTGTACCCTTCCACGTTCGGGACGTTCACGTGCACAAACTCTCGCTCGATGAGCGCGCGAGACTGTTGCACTTTCTCCGCCAAGAGCACAGTGCCAAGTGGCGGTGCCGTCTCGTTCTCAAACATGGCGTCGTGCTGCCGAAACACGACATGGGACATTCTGCGAACACAATGTGTCTGCAGTGGATGGATCAGGTCACGTTCCACAACCCCAACCGTTTGCTGTGGTTTGGTGGAGATGGAGTGAAGCGTGCGTGATGTGCGATGTGGCCACTGTGAGAACCGAGCGTACGTAGCACATATAGCATGCATTGCCTGCATGCACCCTGCAGTCCTTGCATCGCAGGCACACGCGCATACACATACGCACCCACGCACATACATGGGATGAAAGGTGTACGTACCAGAATCTCGGAGACACTGGCCACCACGCGAGGACTCGCGAACTGGGCCTTCTTGCTCTTCACATCAAAGATGGCGTGATGCATCTCATCGCGCTCCTGCGCAAGCGCACAAACAACAAAGTGGAAGGCAATCGTAAACACAGCCAGCAGTCAGTGATACGACGAAAGCGACAACGTGAGGGAAGGGGAAATGAAGAGACGAGGCGTGCGGTGCAGTGGAGTGCAGTGCGTGCAGTGAAGAAGAGCAACATGCGCCTGGAACAAGCCACCCACACCAGTGACCGTAGCACGAGCATCACGCCACACACATAGTCACACCCCTGCGTGCACATGCATTGACCACACACACACACACACACACACACACACACACACACACACACACACACACACACACACACACACACACACACACCATGCATACACACACGCACACGCACACTCACATCCAAAGTGAGTGGTCGCATGGCGGCAAATGTCCAGCTCGGATACACGGGAGTGGAGCTCGCGTAGGCAAAGTACTCGCCGTTGTTCTTCACCACGGGCTGCTGAGATACCACGGAGATGGTGTGCCAGTCAACCAACCCAGCTTGCACGGCCTTCTCCAAGAAGCCCGTCGGTACCATCCCGGCAACAGCCGTGCCAGACAACACAGCCTCCAGCACACGTTCTGGTGTTCCAAGAAACTGCAACTGCATGCGCCCCACACCGCCACCACCACCACCACCACCACGACAACCGCATCAAACAGTGACGGTGAGAACAGATGTGCACAAGTGCAGCCATACAGGTGGTGCCAACAACACAGGGTGAGCGCGTCGAGCCAAAGAAACAAGCACCCCAATCGACACTGTGTGTACATGTGCTGGTGCAACTGACCACACCATCACACTGCCACAAACTCCACAACACACAACACCACAAGAGCAGAAGCAACAAAGACAGCCAACCAACTGCCCCCTTGGTTTGAGTTGCACTGTCACACACCATTTCAGCGTCGTCCATCAGGTCATGGTTTGCCTTGTCCAGGTACTCGGCATAAACGGACAGCGTGGAGGCAAAGTCAGTGACTGTTGTGCCAGCAACTACTTTGTCCTTGAGGTCAATCAGCGATACCAGATCTGTCTCGCGCCGGGTGAACAGCACGCCACCGCTGTCAAACACAAAGTCGTCCTTGTTGTCGCTGCCAGGCTCTGCACAGTGCGACATGCAAGCCAGTAAGCAAGCAATGGGTCATGTGAGCATTGGGTTTGGTTGGTCGCAATGCGTGCGCAAGTGCGATACCACCGTGCCACAGGCGACATGCAAATGGATTGGATGAGTGAGCGCATGTACAAGCGTGCTGGGGTATCCAGACAGCACACCCATACATACACGCCCTCGACTATCACACAAGTGTGCATGCATGCAAGCATTTCTGAGCAAAGGCACGACAAGGCATATGATTGGAGTGTTGGCCTGCTTGCACGTACTGAAGATGCTGGGCAGTCCAAATGCTGCAACCGGAGAGATTGCTTGCTCTTCCTGTAGGCACGCCATAGTCTTGGTGTTGATGAGGGCAAAGTCCAGGTGGCTGGAAGCATCCAGCATCTCCAGCTCGTTCATCCGATACATGGTGAAGTTCCAAGGCGCGTGCTCAGCCAGCAGCTCCTCAAAGACGTCACACACATCTGCAGCACGTCAACGCGAGGGGAAGATGCACACAAACATATGTGAGGAGGTGAGAAGTCAGAGAGCAAACTTGAAGGAGGTGGTCGTTGCAGCGGCGAATCTCGGCTGTGAGACTCGTATCTCCTCGACCTCAAGAGTCACGAGTTACAATCACACAGAAGCTCCCCTGTGCTCTGGTGGCACCAACAAAACATCAAAGCAAAGGAGACGTTCAGAAGCAGAGAAACAAGAGGGATCTAGATAGGTCGCTCTTCCTTCCTGTTTTCGGACTTACAGGGCTCCGTTGGAGAGAGGACGCATCCAATGGCCAGCGAACCATTGGCAGAAAGGTGGTCGGAGCGAACGTGTGCGGCAAGCACACAAAAGAGAAGAGCGACAAGCACAAACATCTTGACTTGATGCCGTGAGAGTCAGCAAGGAGAGAAGGTGTCGTGCACGCGGAAACAAGCGTAGTTGTATGTGGTCGAGCGAGTGCTGGATAAACACAGTGCTCGCGCTGTTATCTGGGGAATAGGGAGGAAGAAGAAATGAGAAACGCAGCAAGGCAGCAGATGTTGCTATGACATCCATGGCCAACAGTCAAACCATGTGTTGCTTCTTGGCTTCTTCTCACCTGTATGGTTTGATGCCTCAGCAACGCATGCTGGCTCTGACTTGATCGAGTGATTGGGGTGGGTGCCTGCATTTCGAGCGTGCTTGGGCACGGTTCGAAATGTACTTCAAAGTTGACACGCGCAATTGAAACGTGAATAGGAATGACAACATTAATTTGGATTGGGGAGGTTTAATGTACGTCTAATTCATCACAACATGACAACACAACATCATGTCCAATTCGCCTGCCTACCAATCCTCGCATAGTACTGCTGTACTGCTAACGGATCATTTCGTCGAAAAAGAAGCAACATAGGCCATTGCTCTCGCTGTTTTCACGTCGTTGCAGTACAAATGGCCATGTATTTGTAACTTTGGCGAACCACCTTTCAAACAATCAACAGCTGACCCTGGCATTTGGATTGTTGAAGAGCACTTCGCGTTCACTCATTGACACAGACACAGCCTTACACAGCACCACAGTCCGAGTGAATGCAAGGAGGAAAACATCACACGCAGACTCACATCATAAGGAAACACAACGGGTTGGTTGACACGGTGGAAGCAGTTGGTGGGGAATAGCATCTCAACAAGCCAGCCGACGCACAAACAAGGAACCAGGAATCAAAGCGAAGAACAGCAACTGATTGTGAACCACATTAAGCGTAAACACCATCCGGAAGCACAACGGTAGCGAGCACTTTGGTGGCTTGATTGGAACTGTCAAGGCTTTGACCGTCATGAACGCTGCTCTCAACAGTGACATAGGCGTTGGCCACACTGGTGTTGAGGTCGATAGAATTCTCATCTGAGTTGGTGCAACAAGTCGAATCGATCCCTGCGACAGTAACAGCGGTCGACAAGGCAGTTGGCAATGATGTTGTTGTTGGCAGGTTGCATGCTGTTGTTGACGCCCGACGGCTGCCAAAGCTGTCACGCGACAGGGCTTCAAACGCCTTTGCATCGTTGAGCCACGACACGGAGCTCAGGGACACGCGCGCCGATGCTCGGCTCTCGTGCGTTCCTGTCGACCGCCGCCCAATCGACGACGCACGCTTCTTCTTGAACACAAACCCGCCCCCAACGCTGTCCTTCAGCTGGGCACTCTTCCTCCGGCTACCCGTGTCACCATCACCATCATCATCACCGTCAACATCGCCATCACCCTCGCCCATGTCGATCACAGTGGCCTCGTTCTCAGCAATGGCAACACGCCCCGTCTGCTCAGGCTTCCTCGTGCTCACCAGCCAGTATGTCAGCATCTCGCCCTTGCCCTTGATGTTCTGCACCCCGCGCGACTCAAGCTTCACCCACGGCGCCTGGCTCCGCACGCGGTCTCCCGCAGACGTCGACACGTGGATCTTGTTGCGCTCGCTCGAGCTCTCCATGCGCGACGCCGTGTTCACCGTATCCCCAAACAGGCAGTACCGCGGGTTGCGCCGCCCAACAACGTTGGCCACGACAGGGCCGCAGTGGAACCCAACGCGGATGTTCACGCACCCCAGCTCCGGCCGCTCAGGGTCAATGAACGTCGACTGCGCCGCCTTGATGGCGTCCTCCGCAAACTGCGCAATGCGGAGCGCGTGGTCGTGCTGCGGCTTGACAAGGTTTGTTGCCGCCATGTACGCGTCGCCAATGGTCTCCACCTTGAACACGCCGTGCTTCTCCGTCAGCTCGTCAAAGGCAGAGTACAGCCGGTCCAGCATGTCCGACACCGCCGCCGGCGTCAGCTGCGCGCTGATGTTGGTGAAGCCCACAATGTCGGAGAAGAAGATGGTCACGTCGTCCTTGTGCTCCGGGTGCACCTTCTTGCCCTCCTCCAGCATCTTGGCAATGTGCGGCGGGAACACGTCGTGCAGCACCGTGGCCTTCTTCAGCGCGTCCTGCTTCTGCTGGATGAGGCTTGCGCCCACCTTTGCTGATGTTGAGCTCGCCCAGCTGCGCGTCCACCTGGTCGAACGTTGGCCGGAACTTTGGGCTCCTCGGACAAGCACCGCCGCGCAAGCTCAGCCAGCATGACGAGGCACCGGAGCCTGGGAATGTCGGGTCGCTTTGCCGCACCTGCGCCGCGGCAATCTGACAGCAGCACTCCGACGCGTCCTCCTCTGGGAACGGGTCATGCCGGCTGTAGATCTCGTACACCGTGATGGCGAAGCTGTACACGTCCGCCTCCCGTGTCACCTCTCCTCCGCGCAGCACCTCTGCATGGTTGTGATGATTGGTTGGTGAGCGGTGGTTGTGATGATTGGTTGGTGAGCGGTGGTTGTGATGGTGGTGATTGTGTTGGTGGTGATTGTGAGTGATAGTGGTTGGAAGGTATGTGTATGTGTTAAGGTAGGGGGGGGGGAAGAACGCAACTCTGCAATACACACGCCCGAATACACATGCACGTGCTTGCATGCATGCACATTCACAGTAGCACATCAGCACACACACAGACACACACAGGCACACACAAATGCACACACACACACACCTGGCGCCATCCAGAAGGGGGTGCCACAGCCAAAACGCTGCTTCTGCGACAGCCCGAAATCAGCAACCTTGGCCTTGAAGTTGCCATCCACAAGCACATTCTTCGTCTTCAGGTCGCCGTGCACAACCGGTGGCTTGAGGTTGTGGATGTAGCGCATGCCAGACACAATGTCCTTGACAATGGGCAGCAGGAACATGTCTGGTGTTGGCAGCTCATCATTGCGCAGGAAGTCATACAGCGACCTGTGCATGAGCAACGTGCGATTGTGTGTATACGTGTGTGGTGCGAATGAGTGAGTGTAGGCGAGTGAGTGAGTGTCGAGGGTGGGAAGAATGAGTGGAAGGCAGTGATGGCGAAAGTGTGGTGCGTGTGTATGCGGTGTGCTGTGCATGACGGCACGATGGCATAAATGCACGCATGCAAGAGCGTCAGCAAAGCCTGATGTCAATCCAATACATGAAGATAATCACACACACACACACACACATACATACATACAGATATGCACACACATACACACACACACACACACACGTGAAGCATTGACGCACCCGTGCTCGAGGTGTTCCATGACGAGGAGAAACTCTCGCGACTTGGTCATGATGGCACCAAGCATGGTGGCGATGCACGGGTGGCGCAGCCGTGACAGCAGCCGCATCTCCTCCATGAACTCGGCTCTGTCGTGATGTGAAGGGCAGTGCAAGACCAATGTGAGTGAGCACAATGCAAGCGAGCAGTACTTGAACAGCAGAACCAGAATGGGCCTGTACCTCACGCCAAAGAGAGGCACGCACTTGGTACTCATGCACACACATATGCATGTACACACACTCACTCGCACACACTCACACACAACACACACACACACACACACAACGCACACACCACAGCACACCACAGCACCCAACTCCTGCAGACAAACGTACTTTGCGTTTGTGAGCCTCTTTGTCTTGCTCATCCTGTGTGTGGTGCCCTGGGTGGTTGCATTGCCCTGCTCCAGCGCCCGCTCAATCGCTGCCTCGTTGTCCATGTTGCCCAGCTGCAAGCCAAAGCCGTTGGCTGTCCTTGATGCCTGATACGTGCCTGTCACTGTGCCGTCAGGAGCTGCAAGTGCGTCATCGCATTCGCCGTTCTTGCTACTCCGTTTCATGCTGCTGAGAAACCCTCGCTTGCTTCCCGTGCGCGTACCACGTGCACCTGCACGCGAGGCCCGCGGCATGACGCGCTTGATGGCGATGGCGGTGCCGTTCAGCTCCCCCTTGATCACAACACCAAACGCGCCCATCCCAAGCACCTCGGGCGGGTCGCTCACAACAACGTCTGCCGCGTCAATCTGCCACAGCTTGTCTGCGCCTCGCCGCACCATGGCAATGGCAATGTACACGCCGATGCCAATCACAGCCAGGGCGCTGCCGATGAAGATGGGCAGGTACTCCTTTGCCTGCATGCAACTGCCGCTGATGTGGAGCGTGCCGACGGGGCAAACGCACGTGTTGTCCTGTGTTGCCTCCTGTCCTGGCGGGCAGTCGCGAGGGGTGACTTCCAGCAGGAACGGGCTTGCGTAGATGGGCTCCCACTTGTCCATTGTTGTTTCAGGGTCAGCAACATATATCTGATGGAAATGACAGAAGCGCAAGTCGTGCATATTGTGCGTTATTGCATTGGTCACTGAGTGTAATTGTGCTCTTCACACTCTTCCTCAATGACATCAAATCTATGGCGCCCATAATTATGTCATATCATCAGCTACCCATGCAGCAACGAATTTGCTTACCTCCACAGCTGCTCTGCCAAAGTGGGGGGTTGTGACATTGAAGATGGCAAACTGATGATCGTGGGGTAGTGGTGTGGCTGTTGTTGTGGAAATGCCTGCTTCTGACCAGTCAACCCTAATGAAGAAGAAGAGCGAGTGTTCATTTGGTCTGTACTGTGCGTACTTGTCTTCCACTAGCATAAACTGGGGTGTGCCTTGCTGCACTGTGGAGCACACGCGCATTCGCTCGCACGAAGACAGCAGCACGTTTTGCAGCGTGTCAACACTTGAAGAGAACAGCGTCTCGCTGCTGTCAGCCAACGTCGAGTGCACCTGTGCGAACGACCCATTGACATTGCAGTTGGATTGTGTGTTTGTGTGTTTGTGTGCGGGCGCGTGGTTGAATGCACATGCGCGTGCGCGGGTTCGCGTGAGCGTTAAAATATGTGCACGTACATGTTGGTTTGCCAGATCTGTCTGCTCTGCGCCTCACACCAGCACCTCCTCTCAGCTTCACGCACGCCACGTCTCTGTCATCCTCACCACAACGCAGGCGCAACCTCACCAAGACGGGTGGCGACTCTTGACATGCTTGGCAGGCGCAGAGCGTGTTGTTGGGGCAGTCAAGTCCAACACACAGTGTTTCCTGGATGTACTTGCTGTGTCTAAAGTGGGATTGCGGGCAGATGATTCGCGGTGCTTGCAGGGCCGGGTCGAACTTGTCAATGAGGGCAGCAGTCCACACAGAAGAAAAGGAGGAAGCTGGAGGAGAAGAAGAGGTATCGGTGGCTGCATTGCCGGGGTTGGCAGGGGACAAGACAGCGCGATGTGATGCAGTTCGAGGGCAGTAGGCGTTTGCACTTCGTGTCAGGTCCCGCTCAATGATGCCAAAAGTTTCCTGCACAGTTGTGAGCGTGTGACGTGGAGATTAAGGATGGAAAAGGAAAATGATTCAGTATCCCGTGTGCCAGAGCACACAGAGAGAGAGAGAGAGAGAGAGAGAGTGTGTGTGTGTGTGTGTGTGTGTGTGAGAGAGAGAGAGTGTGTGTGTGTGTGTGTGAGGGTGTGTGTGTGTGTGTGTGCGTGTGTGTGTATGTGTGGTGAGCGAGTACTGACCAGGGCATCTCCGGCCGTAGCGTAGCTTTCAGCGAGAGCAAAGTGGACACTCAAGTCAACGCTTGTGTTGAACAAGAAGTCAAGCATTTGCTCGCGCTCCTGTTTGTTTGAATGGGTGTTGGAAGAAACCATGCGTAGTGAGAACCTTGCAGGCCAAACAGAGGCGGGTGAGCAGTGGTTGGCGTGCATTGCTGGTTGAAGACGTTGGCGGCAGTGTTATGCATGAACAACGACTGCCATCACTGTTTGGCACAGCTACACGAACGCACCGTCGTTGTGGTTGCTTCAAAGCCTACGAGCGCCCAGCCAGGGTATGCCACGGTGGAGATGTGATAAGGAAACATGCGATGGTTGCTCTCGACGACATTCAGCGACAGCAACAACACGTCCTCCCATGTGACGGCTCTGTCTTTCACAGCTTGCTCAAGAAAGCCCGCCTGCACAATGCCAACGTCTGCAGTGCCGCTCAAGACAGCACCAAGCACGCGAGCGGGTGTGCCCATGAACTCGATCTGATACACAGTTGCATGTGTGCATGTGTGAGCGCTCGCGTGGTGCTCTGTGTGTGTGTGCGTGTGCATGTGTGCGTGTGTATGTGATGTTGTGTTTGTTGTGTTTGTTGTGTTTGTTGTGTTTGTTGTGTTTGTTGTGTTTGTTGTGTTTGCTGTGTTTGTTTGTGCGTTTGTGTGGTTGTCTCGCAAAGTGTTTGTAAGTCATGACCTTCGTTAGTGTTGGCCATGCTCCAAACTGAAATGGCAACTTGATGAAGTCATTGCATCCCACGCAAAGCACGACATCACACTGACCGTAGCTGCGTCATCGATGAGGTCTGATCCCGTGCGCTGGCGATACTCCACAAAGGCCGCATTAGTGCTGGCAAGATCTGTGGTAGTGGTTGTTGCAACGACCCTGTCCTTGAGGTGTTCCAGGGACTCGACGGTTGAGTCTGCACGTGTGAAGATGACGGCTCCCACCTCGAATACGAAATCATCGTGCGTCTTGCGTTTGGGGACTTTGATGGTGGAAGGGCAGGACATAAGCAGTTTCATATGAGAGGAATGCGGATCGACGAGAAGAGCGATACACAAGGATCGACACACACATACACACAAAGCACACGGTGAACACAACTCAAGACAACACAACACACACGTGCATACGCACGCAAACACACGCACGCGAACACACACACACACACATACAGCACAACACACGTGCATACCAGGCATACGCACGCAAACACACACACACACACACATACACAAGCACACACACGCACAGCTTCTTACCGTAGATGTTTGGAACTCCGAGTGTAGCGATGGGGGCGATGCCATATTCAACATCGAGGCAGGCGAGAGTTTTGGGATCAACGAGGGCAAAATGGAGAGATTTGACGGCATCCAAGATCTCAATCTCATCCATGGGTTGGAACGTCGTGTTCCATGGCGCATTTTGCAACACTTCCTCGAAATGGCCACAGATCTCTGCCAGGTGCAAGCACAAGGGTTGAAGTCAAGAATGTGAGTCGAGAGAAGGAAAGGAGCAACCATGCTTGGCTCTTTGCCTGGTGTTGGCTATGTGCGCGGACACCGCTAGGTTCAGGCGGCACACCTGAACAATCGCCAAAGCACACACACACACATCCAGAGGCACACATCCAGACA